TTGAAATATGGATTCACCCATTTGTTACGAAATACACACCCACGCAATACTTACAATTTGTTCTAAAGGTTTGTTTGAATACTTAAATTCATATTCACTCATTTATTATCACATACCCACATAGACAATATATGTAATTATGTTAAGGGACTTGTCTGAAGATTGAAATTCAAGTTCATCTGTTTGTTATCACGTATACACACATGCAATATAGGTAATTTTATATTTGAATGTGTTATTGATGAAAATGTTTTGTATTATAGTGCATATGGATTTCAATTTCCTAATGGTACGAAAGAGTGATTTCAGATTTCTATAGAATTTGAGAGTAACGTAGTGAACAACCCCTTTATTTTTAGTGTTGGGTTCCCTTTGTTTTTGTTCTTTTATTTATATCTCTATACTTTTGAAGTGAGTAGTTATTTCTTGTGTTGAACTTTTTTTTTATAATAGTGTTGAACTCTCTCTTTATTTCTAATATTTATAAATTCTTCATTAAATTTAAAGAAATAAATCAACCAATGAATTAATTTTCTTTTATTTTTTTATTTTTTATACCCTTTATATAACCACTTTTTTTCAAAATCAACTTCATTGATTTTTTCAACTTAACTTCAGTTGATCAGTACCTTAAGATTAAGAATCATCATATAATGTAATCAACCACATAGGTGTTATCAAAAAGTGATTAACTAATTTAATTACCCAATGAATGATATTTGTGGAAAGTGGTGGAAGATTCATGTCTGAAAATGATACATATGAATTATTAGAAATAGTGTAGCATGAGTGTTATCAAAATGGTACAAAAATTATTATTTTCAACAACGTGCTACTAGTTGTCATTTGTTTGGTTTTTCACATACAATCTTCAACTAAGTTTGAGTACATGTAGAACAAACAAGTGGCCCTCCAGTTGTACTCATGAATCCACTCTAAATCAGCGAAGTATCTGAGATAAACCACATCCACGTAATAAGAACTCTTGTCCATAAAAATGGACATGCCAACCAAGTACAACAGGCATACTCTCAATATGTATGCATTATGCTACATAACCTTTTCATCATCACAAGCTTCCTACTCTGCCATTGTTAGTTATTATGTATACAGTTGTTATGTATACAGGCTCTCTGGAAATCAAAACCTACCATAACCTACCATGACACCATCGAATGTCTTTTATCTCCTTTAGGAAATCCCCTAAGTTAGCTCTCAGATATGTTACCATAATCTCCATTGCCTCATCTTTGATAATTATATCATTGTCTAACAGTGTTCTCCTAATCAGAAGATGCAGCATACATGAGACATTGTCTGGTGTGATGGGCATCTCACTATGTGGAAGATGAAAATACAACGTCTAAAAATGTCATCTCTCAACAAACGTGGACATCATATTGTGCTTAATAGTATAATACTTAGTCCTGCATAAGTCTCGCAGCCCAGATAATTGCATCACATTGTGAAATTAGTGCTCATGAGGCTAAGGAAGCTTTGTAATCTTGCGGTCATGGTTGATGCATTTTAAAACATCATGGTCCTATAAAAAAATAAATCAACGTCATAAAATCCGAATGTTATAACAAATGTGTTTCAAAGAATAAATACAATTAAACTTTACCTCTGCATCTCACACATATATGGCAACATGGTTCGGATATAAAGGCAGCATTGATAAGTCTGAAGGGCCTCCACCAAACTCCTCAGGAACGGCATCAACCTGGGGTGCCTCAACCTAGACCGGTAGGGCTTCTGGGGCATTAGGAGGTGAAATGTGCCTCCTATAATAAAACGAAGTCGGAGATGCATGAACTCCGGAAGTAGATGCCTCTGCATCAAACGAACTAGAACCAACCAATCGTTGTGAAAGTAGGACTCTTTCTCTACGAACCGATGCATATTGCAACATTCTTCGGAGCCTCATTCTTTCTTGATTATTGGTCATAATCCCTATAATTAAATCAAACAAGCATTATATTGTAGAAATAATCAATTCCAGATGAAACTGGAAGAAAAACAAGGCAAACATTGTAGAGACCAAATATGGAAATGGATTTTTGGATTTCTAGAAAATCATATTTTGAACGAATATAGAAATACATTTTCGTATTAACTTCAACTTAGCAAACACAAAAATGATAGAAATGCATGGAAAATCAAACTTTCTCAAAACACATTGTTCATCTAAACTACCTATCAAACACATTTCTCAATTTAATAACTTATCTAAACTACCTATTACACAACCTATCAAACACATTGATCAATTTCTACATATGCATAGAGAAATAAAAAATATTTAGAGAAATTAAAAACTTACCAAATGTGAGTTTGATTGTGAGCTTTTTGATTGATTGGTTATTGATGATATAAACTTGAATGTGAGTTGAGAGTTTGAGAGCTTGAGAGACTAAGAGGTTTTGTGAGTTTGAGAGGTTTTGAGAGTTTCAGAGAGTAAAAGAGAAATGAGGAAGGAGACTGATCTGATGCGTTTTAGATTAAAAACGCGTCCAGAAATATATCTCTGTCAAATATATGAAAATGTATTTTTTGACATGAAATTACGATTTGGCCGGATAACGAATGGATTATTTGTGAATGAGTCCGTTCGAAAGTATATTTTCCTATTTTAAAAGTAGTTTTGATTTTTCATTAGAGTTGAAAGTAATCATTAAGTTGAGAAAAGTAATTTCCTGATCATTTCTTTGTGTTGAACTCTCGCTTTGTTTCTTATACTTATAAATTCTTCATTCAGTTTGAAGAAATAAATCAGTCAATGAATTAATTTTCTTTTATTCTCTGATTTCTTTATACTCTTTATATAACCACTTTTTTCCAAAATCAACTTCACTGATTTTTGTAAGTTAACTTCAAGTGATCAATACCTTAAGATTAAAAATCATTACATTATGTAATCAACCACATAAATTGTAGGAAAAAGTGATTAACTTGTTTAATTACCCAATGGATGATATTCACAAAAATCATCATCATGCTTTGAACTAGAAATACAAAGAAAAAGTCTCTCATAAGCAGCCACCATCTTGGTAGCAGTGAACAATTGCAAACCTCTTTCCCTAGCAACTTGACCTTTCTTGTTAAGAGTACCTCTTCCACTATGCCATGACTCATACAATGCTTTCTTAAGAGCAATCACTGTTGGTGAAAATGTATATCCCATTTCATTGCCAACAATTACAGACCCTACAATGCTTGCAAGTTTTGTAGCCATTACTGGCTTACCACTCAACATTGCTTCTAGTAGAGTGTGATCCAAACCTTGTGCTCTTAAAGTAGGGTTTACAAAAATATCAATAGCATTATAGAATGAAGCAAGTTCACTTTGTTCAAGGGGTCCTAAAACTAATACATTTGAACCAAGTTCTCTATATCTTGCAGCCCAAGGTCCATCTCCAGCCACAAGAATTATGCTACTCTCTAAAAATGTGTTGTTTTCTTCAATTATTTGCTTTAAGGCTTCAAACATTAAAGGGTGTCCTTTGTCTTTTACCAACCTTCCGGCTAGTCCTATCACCAATGACTTAGAATTTGGAACTCCATACTTTTGTTTGAATTCCTCCCCTTTGGAGATATCTGGCTTGAAAACCTGTTGGTCAACACCATTAAGAATGATGTGAACCCTTTCTTTCGGAATCATGTAGACTCGCTTTAGGATATCACCGGCGTGATCACTTGTTGCAACATGATGAGCATAGTTTGTGAAGAACTTGATTTCTTCAACAACTTTTACTATTCTTTCTTTCATTGCATTTGTTTGTGGCTCGTCGGGAGGTCTTAGAAGTTCTTGAATGATATCGGAATGAATAGTCTCATATGCGATTCCGTGCCATGTGACAGCCAAATTCGTGACATATCGAGATCGTGTGTACCTAAGGCCAACACTTTCGGTGTGAACAATGTCGAATGGTTTAGTGGTTGAGTTTTGGAGTTGAAATTGCTCCCAAATTGTGGCTTGGTCGAGATAACCGGCGGGTGTTGGTTTTGAGAAGTGAAAATTTAAATTGTTGATTGAATGATTAGAAAAAGAGGGGTTTGGTGAAGTGGTGAATATGTGAAGTTCATGGCCTCTTTTGGCAAGGGCAAGGTGAAGTGTTAAAGCATGGCGTTCAAGTCCACCTGCATGAGATTTTTGTGGCCATTTCTTGACAAAAAGTGCAATCTTGAGGAATTTTGGAGGTAGGTTTACTGAAAAGATTAAATTGTTCCATGCTAAAGGATATGAAAGAAGATTGATTGATTGAGTTTGATTTTGTAATGTTGTCTGGTAAGCAAAAGATGGATAGCATTGGCTGCAACAATGAGTCCAAGAGAGGAACAAGATGATAGAGCAAATGGAAGAAATGATGACAATGTAGCAAAATTTTTGAAAGCTAAATACAGAACTTCGATCCTTTGCCATGGAATATAAGATTAGAATGAGACTATGATAACATGGTTTAGTGTAGTTAGTTTTAAATACACTCAAAGAGAGACAAGAAAGTAAAAATGAAGAAACCTATCACATGGTCTCAAGGCCTCATCACAAGAAGATTGTTGACTTTGATAACTGGGTTTGCTTAAACGGCAAAGTTGCTTTTCCATTTGTCATTTTACAATAATTGACTATACAAACCTTCAGATAAATAAAAATATTACACTTTCCATGTAATAGAAAATGTTTCTTTGAATAATTTTCAACAGTTTAACTTAACACCGGAAGGTACATTCTAACTCAAGTTTTTTCCGGGTTCGAAAATCAAGCTATTTGGATTAACTGCACAAGCAAAACTGTAAAAATATACAAAAATATAATTACTAATAAATACATTAACATTGAGTAACGATTACATTGTACACAGATTTTCTTCTGCGAGAACAAAGCAACCCCGATATAGATAGTAAACGCAAACCACTAAACCCAACCCCCCAAAGAGCACTAGCAGTTTAGCATAGCAAACTTCAGGCATACTCATGAACAACGATCCAGCTTTCAAGGATCATGTTTTTAGTGCACCCCCTTTTTCGAGTTCATTGATCAAATCTCTAAGAGATGGAACTTTAGAAGCCAAGGTTTTATACAATCTAGAATACCGCGCTCGAGTGCCATCTGCAGTCCTTGCTAGGGCAAGCAAGCTTAGAGCCTCAGGTAGTTCAGAAAATATTTGTTTCATTTCGTCCAAGTTCAAACTTTCTAAAACTGAGGGCCTAGGAGTAACCCTCACAATTTCACCACCTTTAGGTTCTTGAACTCGAGCTTCAGCTTTAATGACTAGTTCTGAGTTTGAATTTGCTCCACATTTTATTATAAATGGTGTAGCAGTGCCTGTATTAAATTGGAGCACATTCCACTGTGCCACGTCAATTTCAGATCCCGTGCCTAGATCTGTTGATGGCTTGTGAACATGAGATTGATCTTGAATGCGGTCATCTTCTTCAGGAATTGACTGTATTGTAACAATAGAAGATTTAGGCATCACAAAGGAAATCAAACTAAATTATTTTTCATCAGTTCAGTCCTCCATAATTTACAAACTCAACTCTAGTCCCAAACATCAGAGCAAACAACTTTGATTTATTTCAGCAAAATCATGGTGATGTGTTACCAACTCATAAACACCAGTGGAACGAGGACGAGATGATTTACCCTAAAAAGGAATACAAATTATAGAATAGACCTAAAACTCTGCATACCTCAACCATGCCACAGGCATCGGCAATCTGGCTCTGAGCACATGGATGATCAATTTCAAGTAGCGAAGGCATCTGTTCTTTTAGTTCATCAAGAGAAGCAAGCATTGCTCTTTTCTTACTTTTGCTTAAGATATTCACACTAGATTGTCTTGTTATATTCTGTTTAAAAAATATCTTGAATTATTCATGTATCCTATCGGTAAACAAACTTTCAAAAATGTATTTGCATAAATAGTATAAGAACCTTGATCTGCTTTAATATTCCATCCAGTGAAATGAGAGACGCTAATCGTGCATCTTCAGCTGCAGTAGAAGGATTTAAAATAGGCGAACCCCCATTTTCCAACGTCAATAAAGCTACATCACTTCTCATTTGTTGCAGAATCTGATTGTAACAAGAATAACGAGCTTGATATCAACCAATGATAATTAAGAAATCTATTTATGAGAACAATACTGCACTGGTACCGTTTTCTAAATGATTGAATAACCTTTGAGCACATACCAACAAATCCTAGCCCAATTTGATGAAAATACCCATTCATATATTTAATCCAAAGTTAAAAAATATAGGATTTTCATCCAAGGTTCCCTCCAAATTGGGAGTTTTGGGAGGGGAGGGGAGGGAGAGGAGTTATGATAAAATCTATTTTTATTATATGAACAAAATTACTCTCACTTTTATTTAATAAAAATTTAAATTGTCTTTATTAATATTATATCTTAATTTTTGTCACCTTATTATAATTCCTCCAACTTCATTAATTTTATCATTATGAGTCAACTTTTTTCCATGTGTTTTATTCTATTAATTTTTATTTATTATTTTGTTTGTAATAACTTAATTGTTTTATAAGTTGTGCTGTATTACATATCAATATATACTTGTAATATAAGTTATATATTATCTAGAATTTAATTTTATAAATATTTTATAGGATTAGATGGATCATCAAGATGAGAAAATGGTTCATATGATCATTGATCATACAATGTGATTTTATGACGTTTATCAATATTTTATTTTTACTTTAAGATATTTTAGAGTACTTTAAATGTTAAATATTTTGTGTTTGATTATCTATGTTTTTTTTATGAATTAACAAAAAAAATTGGTGATTATTATTATTATTTTTTAAATTTATTTAGCATGTGTTACAATATTTTAAGAGTAAAAAGGTAAATTAATTTTAAAACCCCTCCCCTCCCCATGTGAACCAAACATATATTTGACTAAAACTTCTCCCTCCCCTTCCCCGCTTACGAACCAAACATACGTTGAATTAAAATACATCCCCTCCCCTCCCCTTTACTAAAATCCCTTCCCTCCCCTTTGGGCAGATATTCTAGACCCTTTTCACTAATCATTCCTTTACTTTATGATTTTGAGTCTGTAAGTGGTTTTTGCCCCTTTTTTCAGAAATAACTTTCCAATTTCTTCCCTGTTTATTGATGTTAGAATCAAAGAATCAAATCCAAATATTTATTATTAGGATTAGAATTAGAAAGTAATATCAATTGATATTTATTGAATTTATTCTATACATTATCACAAATATAGGTGAGGGTAGTCTGATTTAGACACTCGTAGTCACAAATTAAACAGTTGGCAACCTTGGTCTAGTAATTAATGCAAAGACAGGCTTGAACTCGATCAGAAACTCAAGATACATGCAAAGGTTAATTTATATAAAAGAAATTACAGCGTATTAAAAAGTTGAAAAACAAATCACCTTCCTTCTTTTATGATCAACAGATTCTAGAGCTGAACGCAACTTGGCTACTTGTGCTGCATCTTCAGCCTCTTCTGTTGCCAAGGTACCAGCAATATCCTGATAACCAAAAATAAAAAAGAGACCCAGACTTTATTTAAGGAGTTTAACATCAGAAGATGCTCACGGAATAACTGAAAAAAAAGTTTCATACTTTTTTTTTTCTATGGTACACACTCAATTAATCAAATAATAATGCAAATGTAACTAGTCATGGATGGCAATGAGTGATTAATGCAAAAAAAATAGGGAAAACTTCATTGATAAACTCTATGTGGCTCTGGGAACTCAAAAGTACATTCACATAAAAGATGCCAAACCAAGTAGATAGATACAGTTTGTTTAGACAGTATCAGAGATGAACAAGGATTGTAAGCTTCATATACGTACAGTACCACACAGATACAAGAAATATGTAAATATCACGATATGACGTAATCAAGATACATTAACAAAAATGTGTGTGTGCGTGTGCACAATGTTTGTAAAGAGACATTCACATTGCTAATTACTCATTAATATATAAATATATAAGTTATCAATAGATGATCACAATTTATTAATTAAATAAAAACTTGTGAACATAACAAATAAACATAGTTATATATCTTTCCTCCACCTATATCAGAATATATTATTTCCACTACAAATTTATATCAAAAACATACAAATTTGGGAAGAAATATCAAAGAAGTAACGGTGGAAATATTATTAAGAAGAATAAAATAATTACTGGATGCATTTTGCAACATATCAGGAAGTATCCAACACAAATCGTTATCGGAATGTGTTGGACATCCATACTTTTCCGTTTTTGAAGTATATGGGCTCCGTATTTGTAAGAGTCTTTCAACTCAAACCCATAGTAAGTAAGTGCTTCTCTAGTAATCAATAACTTGTTTGAGATATGCCTTTATAGTCATTCTATGCAGATCTAACATGAGGCGCACCTTTAAGTGCTGTAGTTGAGAAGTATAGACACGTTTTGAATACTCAAATAATAGTTGGCCAAGGGCATCAGTGTTTGGAGGCAGAGCAGCACCAAGTCCAGCCATCCAACCATCCATAATTGCTGTTGAAAGAAGTTCCAACTGACCAGTTGACCCCCCAGTTGCATCATTTCCAGAAACAGATAGAAAGTCAAAACTCTCAGCAAGCCAGGATCTAATTTGGCGCTGCAGCTCACCTGCCGGAGTATGTACAAAGAGTGCGGCAAGAGCCTTGTTACCTATTGCAAAACTTTTGGCTTCGTCAGTAATTTCTCTAAGCTTCCCACCAGTCACCTGCTGTCTCCAGATTTCCTGTGCAGTATATTTCAAATTGCAAAGAAAATAAGATAAAAAGAAGAATCCACAGGCAACAAAAAGTTCTAACAAATAAAGGATTTTGTAGGTATTAGACAAAAAAAATCATAAGCAACCCAAAAGCTAGAAAGAAACATTGAATTTTAATAAGGGGCTTATCCATTCCTTAATCTGTTGTTATTAAGATGATAATATGATTATATAGAATAAGGACACCAAGAAATGATTAAAAAATTTATGTTCAGCGTTTGAAAAGAAATCATATGAGAAACAATTCTTTCATTCCTAAATAGTTGTCTACTCATTGACTGAACTCTTCTGTTAGTCGGAAAAAGCATAATGATTGACTACATAAAATAATAATAATAATAATAATTATTATTATTATTATTATTATAATAAAAATAATAACAATAATAAATATTCTAGGTATTATCAGCTACCTGATCAATCCCACGAATCTTCAATACAACAGATGAAAATTTGGACTTCTTTTCTGGCTTTAAATTCACTTTAAATCCCTGGATCTGCTCATCAACATATTGCACAGGAGACCTTCCAGGACTATTCCCTCTGCTGGAACTTCTACTGCGCCCCGTATTAGCCTTCTCAAGAAAGCACTCGACAGGCAAGACCTTTCAAATCGATGTGCAAGACTCACCAAATTAACATAAGGTATGCCACTATACTCGATTAAACACCACTTAATACACATCAATATCTTATCGTAATTTTCTTGAAGAGAAATCCAATAACCTCTACCATTTATTACCTTAATTGATTGCAATTCTGGGGACCTTGCAAGTAAAGATCTTATATACAGAATTCTAACACGTGAAACAAGCATGGTGTCCATAACTCGCTTTGGTTCCATTTTCCTGATAAAAGAGAAAACAGAATCTCTAATTTCAGCAAGTATCTCATGCTCTCTAGAGGCACCAGCTTTGATGACAGCAGCCAAAACCTGCACCAATTTAAATACCATCATAAAAGTCTAGCTGGAAATGAAGATTTAAAAATTCAGCATGGGAATTGGTGCGGTCATTTTAAGGAGAGATAGAGCAATCAACATTGTCAAAGAGTCCCACATCGGACAATATGTGGCCTAAACATATGTTTAAGTGGGAGCAATCCTCACTTTACTAGCTGGCTTTGTAAGGTTGAGTTAGGCTCAACCACAATTCTAAGATGGTATCAAAGCATAGGTTAAAGATCTATTGGACCATCTGCTATCGGGGCCACCCACCATTTATATACACGAATCAAGCCCAATAGTATTGGGTGTGAGGGGGTGTGTTAAGAGTCCCACATCGAACAATGTGTGGACTGAACATATGCTTTATAAGTGGGGGCTATGCTCACCTTACAATCTGGTTTTGTTAGGTTAAGTTAGGTCCAACCACAATTCTAAGAAACATCAATGAATTGGTGTATTTACTCCAGTGCATTATGCGGATAAAATTGTATTTGCAACCTCTTTGTGATATCCAGTACATACTGTTCTTTATCACCAACTTTCAAACAGCTTTCATTGGTTTTGGGATCGGCCGGTTTTTTTAGGCCTTCTTGGTTCCTAGTTCATAAGTTAAACCAGCCAGTCTTGTTCAGTTTTGAAAACATGGTTTTACCAAACGGTTTAAGCTTTTAGGCTACTTGGTTTATATACCCACAAAATCTTAATCTCATTATTTTTCTGAGGCTTGTGCTTGACACATTAAAGACTCAGACATAAAACTGGACAGAACATATCTGCAAATGAAATAATAAAGCTATATTCAGCAAACAGAACCATAAATAGATCACTGATGCATACCAGCATCAAAAGCTTGTTCGCACCATCAGAAATGGCAGCATGACCTTCATATTGATCTGGATCAAAATCATTCAGGGCAGCAGTAAGATATTCGCCCGCAGGGGTGGTCTTGACAATTTCAGAGCCAGATTTAACCAAAGCAACTGTTCCATCATTCTTAGCAGCAGAAGCCAAAGGTGAAGAAAGAGCATTCATCGAATTTGCTACTGTGTTGTTGCTAGTGCCATTCCTAAATCAAGTCAATGAGAATAAAAGTCATTAATTATATGCTGGGAAGACAATTGTAAATCATACAAGAAATAGAATAGATGCTACCTTATCTTATTTTGAGGTTGGATATTAACGGATTCACGAGATAATGGACTTGACGGCTGAAAAGAAGGTGCCAACTTTAGGAAACCAGAAATACAGTATAAGTGATTATCAATATAAATAGTTAAACTTTCGATTGTCTGAAATTAATCAGGTATATAGTGAAACTTTCCTACCACGGGTGACCCAACCACAGATGCTTTCACAGTCAATCTATCAAACAATTTCTCATTTTCTTCATGCAATCTCTGCGAAAATTCAAACATAAAATTGAGCTCCTCGTGAAAACAATAAGTTACACAGGGCAAATCAATTGGTAGACTGCTTCTATCTGACACAACTGTAAAGTATAGCAGACCTCAATCAGAGCATCGCGTTTCTTGAGCTCTTCTTCTAATTTTTTGGTTACCACAGTGCCATCTCCAGTTGATCTGGAATCAGATAGAGCTGCAGACTCTGGCTCTGAAACCAACGTTGAACTACTTTTGCTGGTACCAAGAGCTTCCCTGAGTTCAGTTTCAAGGGTCCTGATTTTAACCTGGTTCAGAGCCAAAAAGCAGAGGATACATAAATTGGTTGACAAGCTTGAAGAATGACGATCACATACATAATTACATCTAGGAGTAAGGTTTAACTCTATTTTTTGTACTATAAATCAGATGATTCAGAAAAGGAGGGTGTGACAGATAGTGTTCAAACTACTTGTTAAGAAATGTGGTTGGGCCTAACTCAACCCTACAAAACCGGTTGGTAGAGTGAGGATTGCTCCCACTTATAAACACATGTTCATGCCATATATTGTCCGATGTGGGACTCTTAACACACCCCCTCACGCTCAGGACTGGACAACTGAAGCGTGGAAATAAATGGTGGGTGGCCCGATAGCGGAAACCATAGAAGGTGGCCCACCGGATCTTAAACGAGGCTCTGATACCATGTTAAGAAATGTGGTTAGGCCTAACTCAACCCTACAAAACCGGTTGGTAGATTGAGGATTGCTCCCACTTATAAACACATGTTCATGCCATATATTGTCCGATGTGGGACTCTTAACACTACTCAATGAGATAAATATGAACAGTGAAGAGAACCAAAAACTATGGCATAAGTAGTGCTCCTACAGCATCTTTGCTAGGAAGGCCATTAGCACATAATTTTGATGATATATAACACTTGACAACATGGAATAGAAGCAACTGCAAAGGTAGCATTGAATTGGATGTATACTGTTTAGAAAACCTAAGCTCCAGCAGGGAGAGGAAGAGCAACAACAAAAAGTATAAAAATGAAGAGTCAGGAGAAAATGTGATGAATTAAGGGCAGAAAATAATTATAAAAATGTAAGATAAACATCCCAGTGAACAAAATTGATTTGTACTCATTTATATTTACTATTGCCATTTTTTAGACAATTTTTAACATCCTGTCAGAAAACTGTAGTCAATAAAATAATAAGATTTTGGACTTACGCACACCACTAAGTTCGTGATGAATATCTCATGCAAACTAGCATAAGATAGGACCAACCTGCAAACTTTGGATGGTTGAATCTTGCTGTTGTATCTGCAATTTTTTATCTTGTTCTACCTGTAACAGCTGAGCAACTTGATTTCTAAGCTGTGTACTTTCTTCTTTCTCAATCTTATACTTATCTGAAAGCAAAATATGCTCTGACTGCAATAGGTAAAAGCAATAATAAGCTGAATGACAAACCTGAAGCCTATACATTCAAAGCTATTAACAAAGTCTTGATAAAAGAGTAATAATGTATGCAGATATTAGGGGTCATTTTTCAACACAATATCTAAGTTTCGTAGGTAAACAAAGTACACATGTCATTCCTTTTTGAAATCAATTCATATACAGAATTGGAAAAGGGAGAATACATATTTAAGAGAAAATTAGATGAATAAAAATTGTCAAAAACTACCTCAGTCCTTTTCATAAGAAACAAAAGATAATCATTAGGATCAATCGAACAAGAGAGAATACTCATTAAATGCATCCACTTACATTTGGGATAGGTGGATTTTTAGTTAACATAAATACCGGTGTAGAAGAAATTCTAATTATTAATACCCATGAAAATTGGTCATTGTTTCTTATAATTAGGACAAGAAATGATCCATTTGTTTCAAATTAAAAATAAACGGAGATAGTAACAGTTATTCTCATATTTCAAACCATGAGTGTATAGAGCATGTCTGTGCTGTCTCTGTTTTAAAGTGTTCCTGCATGTGCTGTAATTGTTTAGTTATTCCAGAGTCTGTCACAGATTGTTCGACAGTCGGTACTTGGTGATAATTCTGTTAGAGCTATCAGGCTATTTTCATCTGTTGAAGCCACAGATGAAAATTCCTCTTGTTCGACTTTTTAGAGATTTTTAGTGAAAAGGTTAGGTTAGTAAAATATAGGCATAATTAGTCCCTAAGTCCCTTAACTTTGAGCGAAGTTTCGCTTTAGTTCCCAAATTAAAAAATGTTACATAATAATCCCTTAACTTCACTTCCGTTAAACCATTTGGTCCCTACCGTTAATCTGTGTGAAAACCGTTAAGGGTCGTTGAATTGGCATGCCAAGTAAGCAGCTTATGTGTTATAAGGACACTAGGATTTGTGGTTCCATCGGTGTTCTTAAAATAAAAATAGAACAAATCATAATCCCATACATAGTTATCATTGCTTTCCAAAATCACACTATAAAAACAAAATCAAAGTCACTCAAAAAAAAAATTTACCAAACATTAAGGAAAAGAAATCATGGATTTAATCTCCAAATAATTCAATTTCATTGTCGAAGTAAATATCACAAATAAAAAGGCTTACACAACAGATACAAAACACGTGAAATTTATGCAAAAAAAAAAAAATTTCAATCATAACACCATAGCCACAACTTCATCCTCTTTCCTTCAGTCAAAGTCACAAATTACCATTCTTTTTTTTTCAAATCATTAACACCCCAAACACTTATCAAATAACAACAAATACACAACACAAATAAAAGTACCTTAACATTCATATTCACAACGAAATCCAACATAAGAAATTGGAAGAACAGGTACACAGTACTGTCTGATTTTGTTTTTCCGGTCATTGATCAGATCGCACGCCATTGATCTTCTTGTTCTAGATCTATACTCGCTTGTCGGTATTTTTCTATTTTTCTCTTTTTTGTTGTTTGCCTGTGTTTTTTGTTTTTTTTTTTTTTTTGTTATTTGTTTGTTTTTTGTTTGAGGTGAAAATTGAGAAGAAGAAGAAATGGAAGAAAGAGTTTTTTTCTTGAGAGAGAGTATTGAACTTTGGTAGGTAGAAATGGTTCTTGCGCCACTAGTTTGATCAAATGTGCAATATTTTAATCAATATAAAATAAATAAATATTCCAACTCAGCAACTAAATGTCCAGCTAATCAAGGTTTAACGTTTTTTCATCGAAAACTAACAGAAATGACTAAATTATGTAACGGAGTATAATTTAAAGGACTACTGTGTAATGTTTTTTTTAGAGACCAAAGTGTAACAATGACTAAAATTAAGGGATCAAAAGAGGTATTAAACCTAGAATATATATATACACACACAGACGCACAAATAAAAGCCAGAAAAATGACATTAAAACGTGGTCACTATTATAACCAAAAGCCATTAATTTTTAAACAAATTAATGCTTATATATATTAGTATACCCTTAATTTAATTCAAAAGCATTTAATGTTGGTAGTTGATTCATCAAATATAGAAAAGGATATTATAGTAAATTTAACTTTGATTGTAAATAAAATCAAGAAAATTAACTACACTTAACTAACTTTCTTATTCAATGTAAACGGTACTTAGTTTCAGGCCCAGCCCTACACAAGTGCAGGGAGCTCTATAGCACCGGCCCTAAATCTTAGGGGGACCAATTTTATTTATAATTAGTCAAAAAAATATAAATACATAAATAAATGATATTAAAAACACAATTTATTTAAATAATTTATACTTTAAACAATATTTTAAATTTTTTGGTGTTTCATTTAGTTAATATACAATTGAATTTTTAGCGTGTTATTTTTAATTATTCGAATTATATTTTTTTTCTAAATTAGGTCCATTTTTAAAATTAAACAGGGTCTCTGAATTGATTGGGTCGGCCCTGCTTAGATTTATTATTAAAATCAACACATTTAATTATTTTCTTAAAAATCGTGCATAGCTCAACTGAGACAGAAGGAGTCTTACAAACTATGAACCTATATTCTCCAAAAAAGTTGTATAAAATGTTCTTGTTCTTCTAACATTTTGCAGCATGAAAACAAAAAAGCATGACACAGTGGATTTACACTAGTCAAGCATGCAATATTTTGAAAACAAATTTCTCAAACCACCAATAACTCGTTAATGTATAAATTGCCAAACCTTTAAATCAGTCTGCAATGCAGAAGAAACTTTCCATGCCTTTTGTACTTCATTGAAGAGTAAAATGCACTGATCGTTAGCATCTTTAAGTGCTTGCTTGAGTCCCAGACTCTCTTGCTTTAGATCATGAATTTCTTTTTCCTTCTCATACAACTCCTTGCGGGCATCATTGGCCTATAAAACCATGGCAAACACGATGAGAATATAAATAAGAATGTTATAGTAATCAAGTCCTAGTTTAAAATAGACATCATCCTATCCAGTATACACACGCAATTTTACCAGATGTAACGTATAATGCAATTTTACCAGATGTAACGTATAATACAATTTTACACCTTGTAATGTATAATAGTAACTATTATGGTTTCATGTTTCCATCAAAAAGTCATACAGATGGATAAAACAACATCAAAATTAGAAATGGGAACTTACAACATCTCTCCATTTTTTTATTGTATCTCGGTTTCCAAGACTTAAGACAGAATTTCTAGCTCGAGCAGAGAAATTGAGAGACATCAATGTCTCGGATAAATTTGAAACACTTGGACAGACATTCACAATCGTCAAAGTTTTTGAACTCCCACCTACACATCAAATAACACTTGAAATATATACAAATCGAGTATGTGTGTGTGTGTGTGGTGCTCGCGCGCGTGTACCACTTGAAATATATACAAATTGTGAGTGTTTGTGTGTGTAATTGTATTTATTAGTGTGTTGAGAAGGAAAAGAAACCAGACAGGCGATGGAATCCATTTATTTAAATTATAAACCAAAGGATATTATATTCACCAAGAGTGATAAACGCAAGGACTTATCGTGACCCCAGTTTTCCATAATTACGTGATAATACACAACATGAAATTAGTCCATAAATACCCATGATGACATTATTTCTTGTCAACAGATTTGAAGATCTCTCAATGACTTGGTGAAGAATGAAAATCTCAGTCGGTCATTTGAATTGACAAAACTAGAGATGTCTAGATATATGAGCCATGTTTGGATAAACAGCTTAATTAATAATCATTTAACATATAATTGCGTATGTATAAGCTATTTCTATAACAAAGATAATAGTCAAATTGTTTTCTTGTTATAAGCTATCTTAGAGAGCTTTTGAAAATAAGCCGAAAACAGTTTATGGACATGTCATAAGTTGTTTTCATAGGCTCTCCCAAAGAGTCTCATCGTCTTACTCTTTATGAAATAGCAACCTAGCTCAATGTGGTGCCTCTCAGAAAACACTGAATTTGAGAAGAAATGCAATGCAATCTAATTATCACAAATGATTGTCGTCATCTACACATCCCAAAGCGCAATTCTTTAAGCAACTATTTGAACTAGATAACTTCCAAGTGGTTTTCACTCCCCCGTTGTTCTTTACGGTCACAGGACTCATAACAGCACCTTGTGCTCCTCTATCTACTGCTTTTATTTTATTTTCATTTTGATCCTCCTTAGTTAAGGATTGATGAACTTCTTTCACCATGATTTTGTTCTTCATATTCGACTTTCTTTTCCAATATTGTGCATCCAACCTTCCTAGCTTTTTTAAACTTCAGTCAGCTTCTCTTATACCTGAAGAACAGTTTTGCTCCCATCTTCCGGCATTGGCAGTTCTGGTTTCTTGCTGCAAACTTGGTCTTTCAATTCCAGATTGTTTTCTGCCTTCGCCCCTGCTTTTGAACTGACTTACTTGGCCTCTTGTTTGGGTTCTACGCTTAACTCTTTTTCTTAATCGGTTTGTGCCCATGCCACAGGTTCTTGTTAGCTCTCTTGTTGAATACTGCACAGCTTCTGAATTCACCATTGGCATTCCACAGGCACAGCGTCAAGATAGGGTTACTAATACCAATTGTTAGACTGCAGTATCATATTAGAGAAATAGGGAAGATTTTCCATGGGTGCATAACAAAATAGCAGGCAATTGAGGCTCTGGCTACCTCCAAAATTCCCAAAGGATACAACTATTTAAAAATGACTAGTTGACCACCCTCTAACCCTTGCCTTTTATTTATATACTTCATTACCCACTTGCCCCTTAACTAATTACTAACAAACTAATTAATCAGGATTAATCATCACCTAACTGGGATCTTAATAGACGGGCAATTTCTGTTACTAATACATTATCATCAGATATCTCATACACCAAATAGACTCCAAAACAAGTTCATAAATAGAAATACGAAGAAAATATCAATACCAAGTGAATCTGCTAGTAGTTTTGTTAGCATTGAATTTTCATAAGGAATAATATCCTTCTTCGATGTCAAAGAAGACAAAACATCTCCCAACCTGCAAAAACATTTCAAAAATGTCACAATGAGTTAGACAATGAAATTTGACATGCATAATGCATCACATTCTTTTACTCATCAAGTTGACAAGAAAAACTAAAAAAGCCTAATAATAATAGGTTGGCTAAGATAAATTTGGGTTTTTATGGAGAATCTTGTTCATATTTGCCTTAGCAGCTAATGTTCAGTTACCCACCATGCAACCTAGGAGCTAGATCCATCTTCACTGTATGTGCATTTCAAATAATCTATCTAACACTAGAACAAAATGGGCTAAACAAAATTAAAAGTTCAAGGGTGTGAGTTAATAACACGCGCTGAGTCAGATTGGCAGTGATCCAGTCATCAGCGAAGCACCATAGTTGATACAAACCAAAACAACAGAAGGGAATTATGGAACAAATAGCTCAACAATGGATAGGAAATACAAGTACTTCTGAAACAGGGGAAATGCAGTGGAAAGGAATTTCAACTACCACAGAGCAAAGCTCCTGCAGAGGCTCTTCCTCTTCCTCTCTTGCAAAGAAAGCTTAATCAGAAACATTTTCCTTTTTCAATTGAGATCACTATTTTGAACAATCTATCTAGACCATGACCAAGTTGATGAGTAAGCCACACACTCCAGTTCACTGCCTATTTTGAACAATCTATCTAGGCCATGAAAAAGATGATGAGTAAGCCACCACTTCAGTTCACTGCTGATAGGGGGAAACATGGCATCAGTTATCACATGGCACCTTTGAAAAAAGACGTGTCCGTATCGGTATCAAATACTTGAACCGACACTTGTGATTACGTTTAATTTATTCATTTTTTCAAATTATTACCAGTGTCTCCATGTCAGTGTCAGGGTCAAATTCGAGGTGTCTGTGCTTATCACATTAGCAAAAGAACTCTTAACTTTTAATTGCTTAGTTCAACCATCATAAGATAAACACAATCTATATCCAGTTATAGGAAATTAACTATCTAATAAGGAAAATACACCCCTTACATTTGAAGTGTTTTGCCCATCTACCATAAGGATAAAACAAACCTACATCCAGTTATAGGGGACTAATTACCTACAGTTTTGTTTCCTATGCAAAAACAGAGATAAAAAAATCTGGTGACCTAACTGAGTAACATTTCCAAATTGCAACAAGTAATGAAAACTGACAAACTACCAAACAAGGATAGCCGGGAACACTCAAAGTGCAATGACTAAAGACCTAGAGGAAAAACATCTCACCGACTGTTGAGCAAATAAATATAATTTGGATAACGGAGGGGGATAAATGCATCAAAATTACATACGCTGAAAGTGACTTCATAACATGCAGCAAATCTGTGACACGCTCACCACTGTCGTCTTCTGTTATTGAACCTTCACTTCCAGCCAAGTCAACCAGATAAAGTTTGCTATATGAGTTCTCACCAGTGATCGAATTGTTGTAAAATATGTGTATTGTAACAATCCTGATAAAGCAAAACATGAAATCCACAGAGCTAAATTAGTGTATATCCCTCACTAGAAATCCAGCTACGCGTGCACACAATTATCAAAATTGTAAAATCTACCAAAAAAATTATACAACTACTCTTCTAATAGATTATCAGAGTGATGCGTTACAAGAAAATATTAACCATTTAAGATTCCATCCTTCATATTTTTTTCTTCCCTATTGTTAAGTTACAAAAAGTATAAAATGAAAATAAAGAGTAAAAAAACATTAGCATTGTAATTACATCCCAAAAATAAATACTCAACTATGCATTTGATTGATCATACTAGTTTACATTTGTAAAAGTATGCTATCACTATATGGTTATAATGCAACTTAAAACATAATCAAATAAAGCCATGGTACAATATAACCATGGCCACAAATGATGTGGGCAGAGAACTTATAACATACAAATGAGATACGTTGATCTTTAATAAATCATTTCCCCGATTCCGAAATGCAGTTTTTAAAACTGTAGAGAACTCCAAAGGGTTATTGACTTTTTCTTGCACCAGTTCTACAAAATTTTCAGCCGATCCAAAGCAGAGCTTTGGCATGTCTTTCCCGGACTCCAAAAGTAGATCCCTTGTCTGAAAGCACATAAAAAGAGCTTGCATGAGAAATTTAATAGTCCCAAAGTGAACTAAGAACCTGGATGCAAATGAGAACATGACAAAAGGGGTGTACATGGTAAGTAAAAACTGAAAGAGACCTGTTCATTATAAAGCTCACAAACTGTAGCAGAGAATTTATATTGAGAAGTGGAGGTTGTATCTAAGTTGGCTAAATCAAACAGCTCCTCAAAACACCGAGCATATAAACCCCGATCATAACTGGATCCTTCCTGAGAATAATGAATGAACATCAAAGAAACAATTGATCAGATCAAACATTATTAAATGTAAAAAGAAATTAAAAATAATAAATTTCGACCGTTGGGCAGCCGTTTCAATTTTTACACAACACTTAATTTGAGACCCTCATCCAAAAAATTTATTAGGGGGAAGTGTTTTGCTCATAGGCACACACGCAGCAAAAAACATAAAGAATAACCATAGTGTGTGTTTTTCCGGAATGGGTTTGACCATAGGCAAATATGGAAACATTATATCCATCCAAAGCTGACTGCACCAATGGTTGAACATCACTGAATAATTCAGCTGCAAACAAAGCACAAAACGGAAATATAAGTAAGCTATATATGAAAGACAACTTCTCAACTCAAAAAACATAGCATCATACATAGAATATAATCATTTTACCTTGTCCAACATGAGGACCATAAACTTTATCAAATTCATAATCTTTTTTGGAATTAGCCAAGGATTCATCACCGGTATTTACACGAATAGTGTATTCATCGGGAAAATCAACAACTGAATGACCTTCATCTTCAAATAACGGTCTTGCCCGACAGAATATGCGTATGCTTCCTGCAAAAGATATTAATGACACAGATGCCTTCTGCTCACAAAGCTTAAAAAAAAAATAAAAAATAAAAAAATAAAAGCTTTAATAGTAGGAACGTTTAGGGTATTTAACTAGCTTCGGTTCCAGTCACTTCATACAAAACAATGTATAAAAAATGTATTTGGGTGACGGTAAAACAAAGTGAATATGAAGAAAGAAACTGCTCAGTATACTAAAGGAAAATCTACAAAGGAATTACCTTTAGATGTCAATAAATCATTGAACAATCTCTTTCTCTCATTGATCAGTGGTGATATTCTTGCTTCATTTTCAAGGGCAACTTGATCTGAAAGTCGCGAATAGGCCACAATTTCAAAATTTAATGTCAGAAAACCAACGAACAATAACTACACACACAGACGCATAAAAGGGATTAGAATGCCAAAATTTTGAATATGGTACCTTCTTCCACCCTAAACTTTTTGGTACCAATAAATAAATAAGCAATTCATGTAGTTTAAGAAACTAATTCCTAAACCCAATTTATTGTGGTGGCACAGATCAGACAGTTTAAAGAATATGTCTCATGTTGTCACTGCAAGTCGGTGATCCAATCAATAAAAATAAAAAATAAATTAAATGAAAATCCAAAATTTCAAAACCTAGTACTAGTCTAGCATGAGCTAAGAGTCGATACAAAATAGTTTCTTACCTAGCTTGCGGGTTTTCTCAGCAAGAACACCGAGATATCGCGTAACTCTATCGAGTTTTGCATTTGAATATTCTTGAAGCTCACTTGCTTCTTGTCTTAACTGCAAATAGTCGTCTCTAGCAAGCTGTGCAAAATGTTTTACGTAATTGTTAACTCACAGCAAGAATACAACATAAAAAAAAGGTAACTCAACCCAGCAAAATTGGTCTATAAAAATGGCCAAACTACCCAAACCCCTTATCAACCCAATACATTCCTTATTCCTATGTTTGGATTGATGGACTAGAACGGAGCGGAGCAGAGTGGAACATAATAGAATGGATTAAAGACTCTACTCCATTGTTTGGGTATTATATTAATAATACCTCATTCCATCGCATACACCCCCAATTGGATGGAACGGGATGGAATGGATTTCATCATGTTCCATTCCACTCCATCCAATATTTACAAATCCAAACAATGGAATTCAATTGCTTACCACTCTATTCCATTCAAAAAATAAATTTTCAATAAGTGAATTTACATATGCTAGTAACACTACAATTATTTGATAACAATAAGAATATAATCATTTCGCTTATACTATTTAGATAACATTAAGAATATAATTAAGAATATAATTGTTTCGCTTATACTATATAGATGCCATCTATGGTAAACACATGAAATTATACTACTACTCTAAGAATTTATTTTTCAAATGGGCGTTTTTGGTAGAACATGTTTTCATACAACAAATATTCACTCATTTGATGTGCTATCACGTCTTCAATTTTGCTGTTGGTTTAATCCTGAATTCTCCTACCCGAATTCTTCCTGCTCATGTTATATTATTCTAAAAAACCTCCCCCAATACATCCTAGTTCTTAGCTCAAAATATTCACACCACAAACCACAACAAAACCCAACTTTATCCACTTCATCACAGAACGACAAAGAACTAAATCATTGCAAGTCATAATAGAGTTTATATAGCACTGAAAATTCAAATTAAAAGCATGTTATCAATGTGACGTGAGACACCCACACCTCACTCACATATGTAATTATAATCAATCACTTTGATTTACTAAAATTATTACAGTCAGTGTCAGTATGATGTCCGATGTTTGTGCCGGTGTTTCATCAGAGTAGACTTCCCGGCATATTAATTGAAGTTCACACAAGGAAATTGGAGAGGTTGTATATATCAAATGAGAATATCTTAAAATAAATTTAGTAGTACTAATTAACACTACAAGAAACTTAATTCAGCTCCCAACGGCATAGCATAATGCATTGATTCATCTTCCGAACAAGAATAGCTCACCATTAGCTTCTCTCAAACTCACACATACAAACTTAACAAACAAAGCAACAACAATACAACAAACGGAAAATATCACTGAAAAAACTTGCTGAATTGGGAAGAAAATGAAGAAGAAGCTACAGTAACAACGCATTACCTTAACTCTATCCTTTAACCGTTGAAGCTTAGAGGCTGCAGTGTTTCTCGGCTGCGGAATAATCGATGAAGACGAAATGGAGTACCTCCTCCCCAACGGCGGATTAGGTTTCCGATCGTCTTGCTCAGCCGGTACTGAAGTCGACGGCGACGATGACTTCCACGGCTCGAAGCCGGTAACGTCCCAGCTCCAACGGTTTCGTTGCTCCGCCATATTTCTCAGATTTCGTTTTTCTCGCTTTCAAATTTTGAAACGAGAGAAAGCGAAATGGAATGAAAGGAATATTTATATTTATGAGTAATAATAATTTTTGAATTAATTAAAATGGAAATAATAATAAATAAGATGAGAGCTTTATGGTTGTTTTGTTATCATTACTAGCTGTGTGCCTTTTTTTTTTGTTGATAATGATAATGAATGGAGGGAGAAAAATGGTGTTTGGTTTGGGAGTGTTTAAACGGTGACGTTTTGAGGAATGGATTTTAGAGTGAGAGTGTTGTGAAGTGGTGTTGGGCTCTTCTGGCTCACATGATATTCTGCGCTTCTTGTTTTGTCACGCTTCGCTCTCAGATTATTTATTGTTTTGTGATATTTTAGAGTTTTGGGTTTTTTTAAGGATAAGGCAAAGGAAAGTATGGGAAGATGAGTTCTTCTTGGTTGTTATAATACCTTCACCTTCACGTTAAATTCTGCTCCCCAACCAAACCTTCGTGTGTTTTTTACATGTTAATAATAATGTTAAATGGTAATTAACACGCGAAGTAAAGATTGGTTTTTATGTCTTGGCTCATTCTAATTCTAGTTTATAATGAAGATAGAAAAAGGAAATTAATATATGATTTTTCTAAAAGATTTGAAGTTTGGATCCTTAACCAATTGATCAAAGGTTAAATTTTAATCTTGGGTTCGAATTTCGTTATGGAGACGGAGAAGTGTTAAATATTTTTTTAAAAAATTTATTGTTTAACGTAGTCACGCGATGATTGAGGATTAGTCTTTTTAATTGAACGTAGAGAGATCCGATTTATACAAAATAAAATATTACATTCTAATTTTTTTAAGTTAATGTTAAATTCTGAAATTTAAACTTTTTATTATCAGTATGTTTGATTTGATTTTATAAAACTGTTTTTTAACTTTTAAAATTCAAATAACAAAATTTATTTATAGTTTAAAAATTAAAACACTAAAATAGATTCTAGAAATTTTGGTTTTTAGCTTTTGTTTTAAAATTATAAAGAATAAAAAAACAAAACAAAATGATATATTTTTCATTAATGATAAATTTGTAATGTTGTGCAGTGTTAAAACAGTTGCTAAAATTAAGATTATCAAATATACAATAATAAATAGAACAACAATTAAGTCTTACCCCACTAAGTAGGGTCAGCTATTTGGATCAAGTTTCGTCGTCTATCCAAGATCATATTTTTATCGAAATTGTTAATCTCGATATTTTTCTTAATAATTTTTCTTATAGTCTTTCTAGGTCTTCCTCTTCCTCTAATTGTTTGACTTTTCTCTGTCTAATCCACTATTATTGCCACAAAATCTACATGTCTTCTCTCTACATGCTCAACCCACATAAGTTTATTATCCATCATCTTTCCTATTATAGGTGTTACCCTTAACATTCTCTTTAATGTTTTTATTTATAATCATATCATGTAAAGTCTTACCGCACATCCAACTTAATATCCTCATTTCTGCTACACTTTCTTTATTCTTGTTGATTCTTAATTGTCCAATATTTTATCTTGTACAACATCGCAGGTCTCACTGCAATCCGGTAAAAAAATTCCTTCAACTTTAGCAGTACCTTTGTGTCACATAAAACACATGAAGCTCTTCTCCAATTCAGCCACCCAACTTGAATTTGATGGTTTACATCACCTTTTATTTCTCCTCCATTTTGTATTATAGATCCAAGATATTTAATCTATGTGATTTTAGGGACAATATGGTATCCAACTTTTACCTTAGGTTAGAAATGCTCTTATTTTGTTGAGTTATGTACTTGTCAAAAAGTATAGGATGTATGTGTTCCCTCTGCAATGGCAGGGGGACTCAAAGGCCTTTGTAGGTGTATTACAATTTAGGTATTGAGGGCTTGCTCACGGCGGCGATAAGCCATGTGCAATGGTTTTCGAGATTGTTTAAGGGACCAGCTTGCGTGAGGTGATAGGCCTTGTTAGTGGTCGGCGATATTGGGTTATAGGCGAGCAGTTAGGTTGATGGTGTGTTAAGGCTACTAGGAGTGTAGTGCTCTCTGAGCAGTAGTAAATGTGTATGACACGAGAATTTGTTTATCCCTTTAAGGGGTGACCTATTTATAGAGGCTTTAGGACCTAGGGTTACCTCAGAAAAGGTCACTATTCACTCAGTCAAATAACGGACAGTTGAATCCCTATTTCCAATGGTAATAGGGATCAGCAACGACTTTGACTTTGTCTTTATCAAAGACACATCATATCCTACATTTATTTCCCTCTAGGGGCGAGTAAGATTTAAGAAAGAGGTTATTAGACTTAAGACTTCACACACAAGAGAGAGTGAATCGTGTGGTTTGGGAAAATGTGGTTTTGGAAAACATTGGGAATATAAAATCAGAGCTTAAAAAATATTTTAATAACATAGCAGCGGAAAAATAAAAATACGAAAAATAAATTGCAAAAATAAAATAAGTTAAAAGAAAAGAGGAACACCAAGAGTTATAGAGGTTCGGTTAAAAACAAAAAGACCTACTCATCTCCCCAAGAATTGATCTTGAGAGTTTCCAATAATACTTTGAGAGTTTTTGGCAGGAAAGACTCACGAACCCCTTTATACAAGAAAATGGTGATTGATCTTTAATCATAATATACAAGAAGATAAATATAAGTGTTTGTGTCTCTTCTTCATAACGAGCTTGAGAGTGAAGGGGTCAATATTCCTTCCTAAATGGTGGATTGAAACGGTTAATCTTCTTTCCACAAACACAGACTTTAAAGTAGTTAGCTTTCAAGTTTCATTACCTTTGAACTCAATACCTTGGTTTTTACCAGGCTAACCAAAAACATGTGACATTTTAACACCGGATTGATCTCGAACCTCTGAAGCTTTCAAGTATATGGTTGAGCTTCAACTTATCTTTGTTTTATCACTGGGTTGACCAAGAACCTAAGAGATTTTATACAGGTTGATCTTCAACCTAAAGTAGGACTGAAATACCTAATCCCAAACATAAGCTTTTTAACGGGTTTAACTTTGACCAAATCAACTCCCTAATTATACAGTATTCAACCAAGGAATACACAAAAGTTTCCCTTGATGAATTTTACAATTCTACCCATTCGAGAATTACAATAATAATCTCACTCATAAAAAGAACTTTTTTCACAAAAGCACTTAGGTTAACAACATAGTGAGAGGAAGTTAAAGAAATATTTAGAGAGAGAAAGTGAGAGACGAAAGTGTAGAAACATGACTCTAGATGCTTTGAAACGAAAAATGGAACCTCTATTTATAGGCCTGAGATTGGTTCAAAAAGGAATTTGAAATAAATGTATTTTAACGTTATCTAATCGATTAACACTTATTCCTAATCTACTAGAAGTTGAAAATAATCGTTTGTAAGTTCCATAAAAGGGAGAAAAGTATATTTAGTCGTTGCACATCATTAAGATGTTGCCTAAATTGCTTGGAACAAGTTTAAACTAAAATAATAAATTAGACAAAGGACTTAATCAATTATATAAGCTAAATTTTTCCCTCTAGTTGTTTTAATAGCTCCCATGTCATCTGGAACAACTTTAAGACATTTTTAAAGATGTTTTTAGTGTGTGTGTGTGTGTGTGTGTGTGTGTGTGTGTGTGTGTGTGTGTGTGTGTGTGTGTGTGTGTGTGTGTGTGTGTGTGTGTGTGTGTGTGTGTGTGTGTGTGTGTGTGTGTGTGTTGTGTGTGTGATTTTAGCCATGTGTTTTTACGATAAAGTCATTTTGCCTTACTATCATTCACTCATTACTAAAATAGGAGATCACTAATACTAAGTTAGTATATCACCATATATTACCTAAAGAATTTGTTGGATATTACTCTTAAAGTTGACACATGCTTGAGAAGCTTGAGACGAGGATTTAGGTGCATTCTTTGTTTGCCATCATTAGATCATCAGGTTTGTCAAACTCTAAAGATAGGTTTACATCTTTATCTGTTCATGCTTGACTTATCATTAGTTGTCATTTTAGATGTCTTAATAGTTGTCATCATAGTTGTCATCATCAAAAGTAGATGCTCTTGTTAAAATCATATCATCTGCAAAACAAGGTTTCGCATTCTCCCTTTTTTATGATGATGACACGTTTCTCAAGGGAAATGGTAAAAGAAATAGTATAAATATGATTGGAATGATAACCCCTCTGGGTTATATAGAGAATATATCGTACTCCCCCTGAGAGTATACTTCTCCCTCGTTGTTAAAATAAAAAAGACGGGTAAATATGCATTGTGAAAAGTAAAAAAGCAAACAAAGGCACTTTAGGCATTTTGAAAAGGGGAACACTCATATTATTACTACGAAATTCAAATCACATGAAAGGAGATTACTTGAAGGAAAATTGTGGAATTCAAATATACAAGAAGGAATGTGTTGGAAAATTTTGCGAGAAAACAGGAAATAATAGAAAACAAATGAAAGCACATAAGTGAGATTATTCTATGCTACGAGTTCCACCATTTTTTGCTATGAATTTCTTCATATCCTCAACTATAGTTTTTGAGAATTTTATCAGTCTTGGTGTTCTCAATCTCAATTGGTTCATCCTCTTCTTCTTCTTTAAAGGATGAGTCTTCTTCTATCTCTCTGTGCTTAATATGAACTCTTATATTTTTTGAGGCATTGTAGGTGATCCTATGGTTTGTAGCACCCTCTACCTCATCTATTATATCAACTTTAAAGGTAGCTAGTAGTTTTGTGATCATTTGACCACAGGGTACCACATCTTCCTTAATCAAATAGCCATGGTTTATGACTCTGGGAAAAAGGATTCTAGTGAGATGGTTGTGAAGAATTATGAGTTTTGGTTTTAGATGAGTGGCTTTGAAGAGTACTCTCTTCTTTTCCATTGGATTGATTAACATGTGGTTTATGGCAGTAGAGTGTTTAAAGTTATTGAATCCTCCTGGTTTATCAAGAGTGTAGATCATCCCTTATTAAGGTAACACAAGAATTCTCCC